CCTACCCCAGGGTGGCATAAATAAAATTTTTTAGCCAAATCAATTGATGAATGTGGTCAATACCAATATATGCCCTACTCTGAAAATTTCAAATTTTATGCGAAGAGGTTATCTACCCCCTTAGAAACAAAAATGTCAAATAAGGGCCAAAAAATGAAAAAAGTGGCCGGCCAAGACCCCAAAAATAACTTAAATCATAGATGGTTATATAAATATGAAATCGGGTAGTTCCCTTATCCATGAGTTATGATCGATATAAAGACCTGCAAAAGTGATTTTAGGTATTTTGAATGTTTGGGAAGAATTTCTGGAAGGATATAAAACCTTTTCTTACTAAAAGTCCCATTCGCTCTACTATTTTGCACCTTTTATTTCAATATTGGTATATTACTTATTATTCTCCCAAAGAATTTTGCATTTTGAGCTCTCATTGGACGGATCATTGTCACGCTTTGAAATGAGCCCCATTAAGCTTTTTCGGTCATTTTTGTTTGTTTAAACGTGTTCGCATCTTCCAGCTAACCCACGATGTAGGCCCTGGAGTTGAAAGGTAGATGTCAGTTAACATCCTATTTCGCACTTATTCAATTTTTTTAGTGAAAAATTATTCTTTATTTTGTTTACAAAAAAAATTGACAAAAAAAAGAATAACAAATTGAAAAAGTCTTCAACTTTTTCGCTGATTTTTTACAGCAAATGTTTTAAGATCCTTCCTTACAAAGTTTGTCAATAGAATGTACTATTACTTTAAAATTCGATTCCATTGAAAATGTTTTTTTGATTTTTGCAATGAGATCTCTTTTTCATGATTTTTCAGCGATTTAGAAAAAGTAATTATCTTTTAACTTTGGTGTGACCGCGTTAAATTATTTCGATATCATCTATTCCGTTTCGCCACTACATAATTCGGTACTACACTTCCATGTAACCCGCCATCAATTTCAGTTCTCAAGAAATCAAGTCAATTAAATAAATTGGTATAAATATTCGAATTCAAAAATAAAATATAAAAAAACCCTACAAATGTACATTAGAAAAAAGTAAGTCAAAATGGAAAAAAATCATGCAAAATAAAACATTACTATTGTACATTTGAAAAGTCAAAATGAAAATGTTAATATATCACATTTTTACGCGATTTTTTTTGGATATTATCCTTTTCGGAGAGTAGACAACTCCGAATTTGTGTGAATCGTTAAAATTAATCCAGCGGTTCTTAAGTTATAAGCGTAGTAACTAACACAACTTACATTTATATATATAGATATATATATACTTTGTAGGGTCTAAAATGCATATTTCGAGGTGTTACAAACGGAATGACAAACTTAATATACCCTCCATACTATGGTAGAGGGTATAAAAATTGTATTGGGGTTAGCTTTGTAATTGTGCCATGGTCTATAATATTTTAGCTTCTATAAAGTAAAGAACAAAATTCAAAAAGCCCTTATAATATCCTCAGCCATATGGCTCTTATATATATGATCTTATATATATATGATCTTATATATTATGGCCATATGCTATAATATATAAGATCATATTCGGTTCTTTGTTGATTTTAGCGACATTATTTAACGGAATTCTTTCTAATTTGGTGTTTGAAATAAATACTACAGCCTATGACAGAAAATTGTCTGTGCAGCTCCACGTCTTCGTATAGCCCCTATATAACGGTATTTTGATGATTTTAGCTACATTAATCACCGATTTTTTTAAGTTTCGCATTTGAATATTGTAATACCTTTTGACAAAAGTTACCTGCATGCAGGTCCATGTACCCTAATGTAACAGCAACATTCAGTATTTTTAAGATTTTTACAGAATTTTTAACGGATTTTATTGTTTTTGAGAATTGCTAAATTCGTTCCAAATTTCTTTTGGTGTCCTTATTATGTCATTGTGTATGTATGTGTATTGTTTTGAATAAAAAATACCTACAATAAATTGAAATTATTTAGATTTGGTTGCAAATTAAAAAAACTGAATGGTCTTACTATTTTAGATTCCATCTCGTGGAATAACCCCGATATTCCATTCTTGTTTCGCGGGGTTTTTTCCCAATATAAGAATTTTGTTAAAAAAATAAAAATAAACAAAGCCTACAGTTGCATATTTACAAGTCTATTTGACACTATAAGACTCCAGCTCAGTGTTGCATTTTTCTAGTTTCTTTGAAGTTGAGCAACCATTCTTATTGAGCCATGGTATAGCCCACATTCAGAAGAAAGAGATCATTCTTGCTTGCAAATTAAGTTAATAAAATGGCATCCTCCCATCCCCCACTGTAGCAATAATGGAAATCTACAAATTTCCAGCAGCCACACATGAGGCTCATTTAGTCTAGAGCACGAAGATGTAGAGAAAATGAAAAGAAACGACTACCGGCTACTGAGGGCAAACAAGAACTCCGGAAGAGTAAAGAAATACATTACTACAATTTTTACAATTTACAAAAAAAGATAAGCTCCAAACAATGTTTATATTTATATTTTCATTTTAATTTACACAATGTTGAAAAATTTTTATTGCCAAGTCACAGTGAAAAACGTCGAGGGCACATGTCTGGTATTAGGTAGCGGTGTCATACTTTACATGGAGCAAATACAGGGTGAGATGAAAAAACTGCAACCAACTTCAGAAGGCTGTCATTTCTAAGCCACTCGTCCGACAGCTGGTTAAATTATTCCAGTGACAGCTCATTATATTGTTTACAATGGACTCTTCCAGAAAAAAATTATTCGTGAAGGAATTCAAGCGTGATTTCTTTATATTTGGCTGGAAACCCACAAGTGGCTATCGTTAGAGCACTCCAGCATTTAAATGTGAATAAATCTTTTGAGTCTCGTAGCGTAGCCCGACGTCACGGAAGTGGTCGGAAGAAAACAGCAACATCAGCAGGAATGGTTCGAAAAGTAAAAAGCAACTTGATCGAATCCCGCGTCACAGTGGCCGAAAAATGGCTCGTGAGCTGAACATATCGCAATATTAAATTTGGCAAATATTGAAAAATGAGCTCGGGGTAAAGCCATTGACATTCCAAAAAGTGCAAGAACCTACACCAGACGAGCTAAATAGTTGCTTCGCTTGGCCAAAGGTGGTGAACAGGCGAATTTGGTTTTATCCGATTAGAAAACATTCGTTGACCAGCAGTTTGCAAACAAACAAAATCATCGTGTTTACTTGCCAAAGATGTCAGCTGAAAATGTGCACCATCGGTTGGCCACCAGAACTCAAGCGCCGGCCATGGTGATGGTGTGAGCCGCCATAACAGCCGATGGTCGATCCTCACTCGTATTAATCGACCGTGGCATCAAAATAAACGCCGAATATTATACCGAAAATATTCTGAAGGTTGTATTAAAGCCTTGCCTCAATCAGCTCAAGCAAGCGCTTCGCCGGAAATGGGCCAAAATACAGCAGAGCAACATTCGGGCAGCGTGTGACGGTTTCATTGACAGATTGAAGGCCATAATTCGTGCCAAAGGTGAACAATTCTAACAAATCTAAACTTAGTCTAAAATTTGATGCTGTTTCTTTCATTCAATAAAATTAAAAAAAAAAAAGTAAAAAAGTTGTAAGTTTGGCCGGGCCGAACTTTGAATGCCCTTCACCATTAGGTACAAATTTGGCAATTTTCAAAAAAATAAAATCCATGAAAAAAAATTTCTGTTAAAATCTTAAAAATACCGAATGTAGCCGTATATTAGGGTATATACGACGACGTGGACCTGCAAAGGCAACTTTTGTCGTAAGCTATTATAATATTAAAATGCTTAAATTGAAAAAAATATGTTTATAATGTTGCTAAAATAAATAAAATACCGAATATAGGGAGGTACCATACGTGGACCTGCAAAGACTGACATAGGCTGTAGTATCCATTACGAACTTCAAATACCAAATTTGAAACAATTCCGGTAAATAATGTCGCTAAAATCATCAAAATACTGAATATAGGGGCTATACGAAGACGTGGACCTTGAAGACCGATTTTCTGTCTTAGGCTGAATATCCATTTCGAGGTGTTACAAACGGAATGACAAACTTAATATACCCTCCATACTATGGTGGAGGGTATAAAAATGTAAAAAATATGGCGTTTGACTTTGTTGCACTTTTTTATGTCAATCTGTATACTAAAATATTGATGATATTTTTGATCACTTCTAAATTAAAAATTAATATTTTGATTTTTGAAAGACTAATTATTTTTTTTAATTTAATAAACTGCTTATCCATGGTATAATTATTACAGGTAGCAGCAAAACTCACTTGATTTAACTCTAGTAATACTAGTGTCAAATACGATACGACGTTTTGTGATTTAATTCCATTTCTTGATATACAATAGGTATACACTCTTTGATATAAAATTCCACGGCAGGGCAATGTGAACATATTTGTTGCCTAAAAAAGAAGAATTAGCCGTTATACTTAACAAAACTCCAACGGCAATGGTGCAGAAACTTATTCGCCGTTAAGCAACAGCGACACCACATTAGATAATATTTATACACACAGTTTGGTCTCAATTTAAAAGAGATGTTGCTTTTTCACGATTTTCTAAGGATTGATTGATCACTTCCATACGGAGACAAGGTTGCTGCCAGTCAAACGGCATAACGGGTTGCTGACTAGGGCCTTCTTTTTGACGAATTAACTGTCGTGTCACTTGTGCCATCTCAACGTCTGCCAGTTTTTTCGTTTCCATTTTCTTTTGTTTGTCTTTTTTATCTAACCCGTCAACAACTAAATAAAACCACACACCCGAAAGATCCTCCAAACACAGTCAAGAAATATCTAGATTCCATATTTGAGCGAGTTATTTAAAAAACATCATATGGACAACATTGAAAAGTGCAAAATGTCACAACCCCGAAACTCCCTAACAGATTATATCTCACCTACAATAGAAAGACCTGTTTAAAACATATTTTATTTAGAGAACTGCACTAAGATTTTGTAGTTAATATATTTAAGAAAATAAAACAACATTTTTATTTTTCAGATCGAACGTTTTCGGTTCCTACCTAATTTGAAAGTCCTTAATCTAGAAGGCAATCCTTTAGCGCAAGAATCGGAATTCTCTCTAAGTGATTATATAGCTGCTATTCTGCCCAAACTAAAGTATTACGAATATGTGGCTATTGGAGACGAACAAAGAGAAAGTGCAAGAAGACGCTTCTAGTAAGTACAAATTGAGGAGTAAAAGTAAGAAAAAAAGTGGAATTGGTCTCATGGTGTACTCTGCATATAGTGTTTCGTGTTTTAATTTCCACTTTTCTTGTATTTTAGGGAAATACGGTTTGTTTTTAATTTCAATCTTTTTTTATACCATCCACCATAGTATGGAGGGAATATTAAGTTTGTCATTCCGTTAGACCCCACAAAGTAATTCTATGTCGATTTATCAATGTCCGTCCGTCTGTGGAAATCACTCTGGCATCCAACGAAATAAAATAGGTTGATAAAATTTTACTCAAATGTGTATTATGTCAGCAGGACTTTTGGTATTTAAAATGGACCATATAGGTCCACTTCTTCGTATAGCCCCCCATATAACGGTACCCCCCGATATTCGGTATTTTGATGATTTTAGCGACACTATTTACCGGAATAGTTTCAAATTTGGTATTTGAAGTTCGTAATGGATACTACAGCCTATGACAGAAAATTGTTTGTGCAGATCCACGTCTTCGTATAGCCCCCATATAACGGTACCCCCCCGATATTCGGTATTTTGATGATTTTAGCGACATTATTAACCGGAACTTTTTTCAAAGTTGGTATTTGAATTCGTAATGGATACTACAGCCTTTGACAGAAAATTGTTTGTGCAGGTCCACGTCTTCGTATAGCCCCCATATAACGGTACCCCACGATATTCGGAATTTTAATGATGATTATTAACCGGAACTTTTTTCAAAGTAGGTATTTGAATTTCATAATGAATAGTACAGCCTATGACAGAATTTTTTCTGTGCAGGCCCACGCCTTCGTCTAGCATGATTTTAGCGACACTGTTTACCGGAATTGTTTCAAATTTCGCATTTGAAGTTCGTAATAGATACTACAGCCTATGACAGAAAATTGTCTGTGCAGGTAGACGTCTTCGTATAGCCCCCATATAACGGGTACACCCGATATTCGGTATTTTGATGATTTTAGCGACACTATTTACCGGAACTAGTTCACACTTAGTATTTGAAGTTCGTAATGAATACTACAGCCTTTGACAAAAAAATTGTTTGTGCAGATCCACGTCTTCGTACAGCCCCCATGTAACGGTACCCCCCGATATTCGGTATTTTGATGATTTTAGCGACATTATTTTCCGGAATTGTTTAAAATTTCGCATTTGAAGTTTGTAATAGATACTACAGCCTATGACAGAAAATTGTCTGTACAGGTCCACGTATTCGTATACCCCCCATATAACGGTACCCCCCGTTATTCGGTATTTTCATGATTTTAGCAACACTATTTGCCGGAACTATTTCAAACTTAGTATTTGAAGTTCGTAATGAATACCACAGCCTTTGATAAAAAAAATTGTTTGTGCAGGTCCACGTCTTCGTATAGCCCCCATATAACGGTACCCCCCGATATTCGGTATTTTGATGATTTTAGCGACATTATTTTCCGGAATTGTTTAAAATTTCGCATTTGAAGTTCGTAATGAATACTACAGCCTATGACAGAAAATTGTTTGTTCAGGTCCACGTCTTCGTATAGCCCCCATATAACGGTACCCCCGATATTCGGTATTTTGATGATTTTAGCTACATTATAAACAGATTTTTTTCAAGTTTCGCATTTGAATATTGTAATAGCTTGTGACAAAAATTGCCTATGCAGGTCCACGTCGTCGTATAGACCCTAATATACGGCTACATTCGGTATTTTTAAGATTTTAGCAGAATTTTTAACGGATTTTATTTTTTGAAAATTCCAAAATTTCTCCATGTTATGTTTCAAATTTTCAGATTGATACACCTAAATGACAAATTCCCATTTGAAACGTTGACGAACTTTTATTAATTGTCTTTCAATTTAATGAAACAAATTTCAAAAAAGTATATTTTTGAAATAGAAGCACTTTAGTGGGAATTTTTAAATTAATTTCAATTTTCAAAAACAATTCTACAAATCCTCAAATGCGAATGATTTACTTATAGGCGTGTTCAAAAGATTATTAAGGTTTATACCTATACTTTTTAATATTAACTTTTTAGCCGAGAACTTCGTGAAATAGAGACCAATGAAGAAATGGAGTTACAGGCACGCTCACAAAAGCTAAGAGAAGAGGAGAACGCGAAGAGGTTATCGGTAAGTTTCGTCGAACACTTAAACGAACACCAACTGTACGAATCCTTGTGGAATGGTGACGAGGACGGACGAATTTTAATGATGATTGGAGAAGCTGCTAACGATTTGGCCGAAGAGTATGACAATGATATATTCGAATTAACCCAAGAGATCTACAAGCTAGGCTTAGAAAAGTACGAAGAGCGTCAACGAGAAATTGACAAATTTCATCAAAGTATCGAACAAGGTCATCTCGAAATTCAACAAATGGGTCACAAAATCCTTGAAGATTTCTCGAAATACAAAGACACTTTATTCGAAGAAGCTATTTCTTGCCACAGGATTATCGAAGCACGACTGATGCGTGGCGATGATGCCGAAAATGAAGAAGTCATCAAGCAAAGGGACACATTGGATCGTATAACCACGCAGTTCGACGATACGGTCAACAATGTTTGGCAACAACTGATGAGTCAAGAATTGCAGCTACACGAGGCAACAGAAGTAAGTTTGATTTGAAACCATTACCCAGATCCACGAAATTTAAAACTATGTAGTTTGATTAATAATTGTTGCGAATATTCGAACGTAATGCGAAATATCACACTACAGCCTAATATAATACTACAGTCTATGACAGAAAATTGTCTGTGCAGATCCACGTCTTCGTATGGCCCCCATATAACGGCACCTCCCAATATTCGGTATTTTGATAATTTTAGCTACATTATTCACCGAATTTTTTTTCAAGTTTCGCATTTGCAGGGTATTCAAAGTTCAGCCCGGCCACACTTACAGCTTTTTTAATGGTTAATGCAATAAACATATTACAACAACCCTTTCCCTGCAATCTTGTTAACTTTTATTTGAATTAGAATAATTTTTTTAACAACTGGGTTGTTGAAGCATTAAAAAATGATTTTTTAAGTCTGCTTGCGTTCTGATCTAACTAAAAATAACTCGATCTAAATTAAAAACAATTCTAGGAAACAACAATAAATTTTCAACGAAAAATGCAAGAAATGATAGCAAAGTTTGTGGAACAAGCTCAAACTCATTTCGGCCAACTGCGTGATGTTGCGGTACATTTCTCGGAGAATCTGAACGAAATTGTTTCCCGTTTCATAGCTACAAAATTGGCAATGCAGGACATAAAGAGCATTCCAGATCCACTTAGAATATGTATCGAAGATCGAGAGGCTATTGGTAATCTGATAGCTGGTATGAAAGATACACATACTCAAAAAATTGATGAACGAGAAGATCGGCTAATACAAAGGAGCAAGGAGTTTGTTGAAAATATGATTTGCGAATTAAACAAGTAAGTATCAAATACCTGGTTAGCTATATAAAAGTGTCATATCTTAGGACCTCTTTCTGTGTGACGCGACGCAAGTGAATGCGAACGAGAATCACATTTCAAATATCTATATCTATATATATATATAAATGAAAGTTGTGTTAGTTACTACGCTTATAACTTAAGAACCGCTGAACTGATTTTAATGATTCATACAAATTCGGAATTGTCTCTTATCCGAAAAGGATAATATCCAAAAAAAATCGCGTAAAAATGTGATATGTTAACATTTTCATTTTGACTTTTGAAATGTACAATAGTAATGTTTTATTTTGCATGATTTTTTTCCATTTTGACTTACTTTTTTCTAATGTACATTTGTAGTGTTTTTTATATTTTATTTTTGAATTCGAATATTAATACCAATTTATTTAATTGACTTGATTTCTTGAGAACTGAAATTGATGACGGGTTACATGGAAGTGTAGTGCCGAATTATGTGGTGGCGAAACGGAATAGATGATACCGAAATAATTTAATGCGGTCACACCAAAGTTAAAAGAAAATTACTTTTTCAAAATCGTTAAAAAGAAACACGAAAAAAGAGATCTCATTGCAACAATTCTCAAAACGGGAAAATATCGAAAAAAATTCCAATGGAATTGAATTTTAAAATAAAAGTACATTCTATTGACAAACTTTGTAAGGATCTTTAAACAGTTGCTGTAAAAAATCAGCGAACAAGTTAAAGATTTTTTCAATTTGTTATTCTTCTTTTGTCAATTTTTTTCAATTTGTAATATCATATTGAATTCAGTGGATTTTTTGTGAACAAAATAAAGAATAATTTTTCACTATATACAATTTTTCACCAAAAAAATGAAATAAGTGCGAAATACGATGGTAACTGACATCTACCTTTCAACTCCAGGGCCTACATCGTGCTTCAGCTGGAAGATGCGCAGACATTTAAACAAACAAAAATGACCGAAAAAGACTAATGGGGCTTATTTCAAAGCGTGGCCCTACTTCTTTCATGTGACAATAATCCGTCCAATGAGAGCTCACCTTAAATCGCTTTAGCAGGTCATGATATCGATCATAAATAATCATCGTATGATTTAAGCCATTTTTGGAGTCTTCGCCATTTTCTTCTATTTTTGGCCCTTATTTGGCATCTTTGCTTCTAAGGGGGGTGGAGAACCTCTTGGCATAAAATTTTCGGAGTAGGGCCCATATTGGTCTTGACCACTAAAAAATTTTATGTATGCTACCCTGGGGTAAGGAACCATCGTACAGATAATTGCCACATAGAAATTTATTCATGTAAAGTCCCCACATTGGAGTATCCCCAAGTCCACTTTCACATCTAATGTGTGGTCAGAAAAGAAAAATTTATATTCTATTGAATTTGTAACCCCCAAGAGAATATTGGTTGGGAACGTAGATTTGGGATATACATCTATATGAAATTAATTGTGAAAACATGAACAAATTACAATATAAGAAAGTAGCACGGGACCGAATATTGTTGAATCGTCATTAAATTATACTATGATGAAAAATATGGACTCCAACTTACAATTTAAATGGCAAATAAAATTAATTCCCATCTTACGGTAATGGATGTAAAATAGCTATATTTTTGATTTGGCCTCTTTTTGTCATCTTGGATTATAAGGGGTGAAGAAAGTTTTCAATGTAGGTCGATGTTTCGCATTTTACCATATTTCAAAGGATTTGGCTAAAAATGAGTATTTGGGGATGAAAATCTTACACAAAAATTTCAACATATCTACAAATTTTAGGATTTTCTCCATGTAATAGTATCCCCTCAAGTCCACCTTTTGGCGGACAAACAGACCGACATGGTTAGGGGGACTTATGAGGACTCTAATGCACAATCTGAGGTGCTAATGGGTTTAAAAAAGTAATTAACTTTGCCTATTCTTAAATCAATTAGCCCTCAATTACGAGTTGTACAAAGTACAGTAAATTCCAAATTACTGCTCATTTGACTAAAAATTAAAAACTAATCGACCAGTACGTGAACATTTATAACATTCATATCTTTGAATAATCATGCTTTGACAAATATGCATAATAGACAAAAACTATGGGCCGGCAACGCGGACCGGGCCAGCTAGTATATATATAAAAATCAATTTTTGTTTGTTGGTAACGGAATCAGTTGGAAACGGCTGGACCGATTTGCATAAATTTTTGTACAAACTTTCGTCATACCCCGAGCTAGGTTTTTAAAGAAAAAATATTGACCACGCCTCCTTTTACGCCCACTATTACGATTTATCTAAAATCTTTATATTTGCCAAAATAGTGAAGATATCGGTTTGAGAATTATTACACGAGATGCTGTTGGCTTTCCATCCAACCCTAAGTACTTATTTAGGGGCTGAGGAACGCGCCTACTTTTAAATCTATCTCTCTATATCTAAAAGATAGTTGTGTTAGTTACTACTCTTATAACATAAAGATCGCCGGTCTGATTTTAATGATTTAGACAAATTCGGAATTGCCTCTTGGCAGAAAAGAATAAAATCCAAAAAAAAAAAAATCGCGTAAAAATATGAAATTTGAACATTTTCATTTTGACTTTTAAAATACACAATAGTAATGTTTTATATTGCATATTTTTTTCCATTTTGACTTACTATTTTCGAATGTACATTTGTAGTGTTTTTTTTGTTTTTTTTTTTTTTTTTTTTGGAATTCTAATATGAATTGTAGGTTTTTTTGGGTAGTATAAAGCCACAACGGATAAAACTGTTATTTAATGATTTTATGTACTTATTCGTAATACCCAATAAATACATAAAATCTATAAATAACAATTTTATCCGTTGTCGCTTTATATGAAAATTCTAAAATCGGGAAAAATCGACAATTTTTCAATGGAATCGAATTTCAAAATAATAGTACATTCTACCGACAAACTTCGTAGGGACCTTTAAAAATTTGCAGCAAAAAATCAGCGAACCAGTTGAAGATTCTTTTTCTTTTTTTTTCTATATTGAAGTGTACATTTGTTATTGGATTGAATTCTGAATGAATAATATTAAAAATGAAATAAGGGCGCAATACGATGTTAAATGCTTTCTACTCCAGGACCTACATCGTGCTTCAGCTGGAAGATGCGAACCCATTTAAACAAACAAAAATGACCAAAGAAGCGTTATGGGGTTAATTTCAAAAAGTGGACCTGCTTCTTTCATATGACAATAAATTGTCAAATGAGAACACAACATGCAAAATACATTGGGACTGTAATCAGTCAAATACCGACTATAAAGAACGCAAAATAGAAATTCTACCTAAACATTCAAGATACCTTTAATCGCTTTGCCAGGTCATGATATTGATCATAACCCCTGATAGCGGAACAACCCGATTTCAAGTATATTCTACATTTTAACCATATTTTTCGTACTAATTTTAGCTTATGTTGATAATTTAAGAAAAAACCATCTTTACAAAAAATTATCACGTTTTGGTATCACCATCATATGATTTAAGGTATTTTCGGGGTCCTGGTCACTTTTTTCATTTTTTGGCCCTTATTTGACATCTTTGTTTCTAAGGGGGAAGAAAACCTCTTCTTATAAATTTTTATTTTTCGGAAAAGTGCGCATCTTAGTCTTGAGGCTACCTGGGGTAGAAAATCATCTTACAGATAATTATCCTCATAGGAATTTATTTAAGTATAGTCCCCACATTAGTATACCCCCAAGTCCACTTTCCCAACCAATGTGTGGTCAGAAAAGAAAATTTGGTATTCTATTTAATTTGTAACCCCCAAGAGAATATTGGTTGGGAACGTAGATTTGGGATGTATGTCTATATGAAATAAACTCCGAAATGTCAATCTGGGACTCATTCAGTCGGAAATTGTGGCAGAAACATGAAAAAAAATACGAAATTATAAAGCAACTTTATTGGATCTCCACCGCACAATTTAAATGACAAACAATTAATGCCCATCTTACGGTAATCGGAGCAAAAGAGTATTTTTTTGGCTATTCTGACAACATTCTGCCTTCAAGTATGAGGTGGACAAAACTGAATACCACGCAGTACGGGATTTTAAGTGTTGGAGATACAAATTTCAAATTATAGCTCATTTGAATGCTTTTTACAATATCAAAAATTGAGCTGAATTTTCACATGGGGCTATTATAGATGTTCTTTGTCATATAGGTATTCAACACTTAAATTAAAGCCTATAGCTGATAAATAAGATCTGGCTATTCAAAATATCTAAAACCGACGGTAATTATAATTTTTGCCATGAATATTAATTTATATTTAGTCATGGAGTCATTACTCATAATCAAGTCATTACTTATAATCAAAATTGGAGTAATTATAATGGCGTCATTACTTATAACCAAAATTGTGCCGATATGATGTGTAGTCTTTTTGGGGAGTATAAACGGACAAAACTGTTAATTATCGATTTTATGTATTTTTGTGGGTAAGTGGAATTATACGAATAATATCATTTCAGAAGATAATAAGCTGAACAAAAATCAATATTTTAATAACTTTTTTAAAATCGAGGTAAAATTAAAAAAAAAAATAATGGAATCGAATTTCAAATAATAGTACATTCAATTGACGAATTTCGTAAGGACCTCTAAGCATTTGCTGTAAAAATCAGCGAACAAGTTGAAGTTTTTTTTCTTTTTTCAATTTGCTTTTTTGTCAATTTTATATATCATATCATATTGAATTCAATCTTTTTTGCGAACAAATAAAGAATTATTTTCACCATATAAAAGAAAGTATGTCAGTTACTACTCTTATAACTCATGACGGATTTTAAGAGTTCATACAATTTCGGATGGTACGCAATACCATATTAAATGGCGATCTTTCATGCTTAAATTGACATTTAGCTTTCAATTCCATGACCTACATTGTGCTTCGGCTGAAAAACGCGAACACATTTAAACAAACAAAATGACCGACAAAGCGTTATGAGGCTCAATTCTAAACGTGGA